CAAGTCCTAGGCAGTGGTTGGAGGATGCATTCAGCGGCTGCGTCCCCTTGACTGCAATGCACAGGGCTCTGTCTTGGTTCAGAAAAGAGGAGATCACATCCCCGCGCTCATCAGGACATTGTCGGGGAGCAGTTGTGCCTCCTGCCAACAGGGCACAAGAGACATTGTCAGGAAAAGATAAAAGCTCACTCAGTGTATCCTCCAGAAACAAGCATGGCCTCAGATAGCAAAACCTATTCGTTTGGCAAGAAAATATTTCTTTGTGGGCAATCTTCAGTATTAGCCACTTTCCTTCTTTTAGTAGACAAATAATGCAATAATGGGAACAACTGGTAGATTTCTTTAAAGAAAAACCACCGAGGTGCAGACCAGACTTGCACATTCATCTTTCCTCCTGAAGTTAACAGGATTTCAGGTTTGAGATGACATGCTGCTGATTTAGCAAAATGTGCAAAGTTTCTTTCTCAACAGCTCCCCCGCTCGCTCAAGACCTTGACGGGGAATTTTTCCCACAGTGTCTCAGTAACATGAGCCTGGGAAAGTTCTCCCCAGTGTCCAGGCAGAACAGGGCAGGAAGCTGGTGGGGTCGGAGCTCCCTGCACAGCATAGACCTCACGAGTTCCCTGGACACCAAGAGGGTGCTACCTGGAGGTTTAAAGTGTGGCCCCACATGGCGTTTGGCTCTGGAAACAGAAGAGAGAGGCTCCATCACCCAGGGAGCGAGCATCTCAGGGCTGGCTTGGAAAGGGCCCAGACTCTTCCTTTACTGCTGGGGCCATAGGTTTCCATGACCCCAACTTCTCAACCCATCCCTGCCAGACTAAGGAATCCCAAGTATCTCAGATGAGTGCGCCTTTCCTGACATCGAGAAGCCCTAGCGAAGGGAGGTTTATAGGGTACCGTTCTCCCCATTGTGGACTGAGGGGCAGCCTAGGCACAGGGAACCTCCTGGTGCATGGAAGACCAGCCACACAAATCTCATTATTGTTAATGGTTCTGTGATGTTGTTTTCCCCGCTAATTTGTAGAGATACTTTTCTCCCTCATTGATTTATTGAGATATTTAGCAGCATAATACAAATGAGAAAAATAATCCACAGTTGAAAAACTGGATACTGTAGAGGCTGCCAGCTTTTTCCTCACCCACTCGTGATCATGGTGTAAATATTGGTATGGATAAATAGCCCAGTGACTTACAGTTGGAGCATAAATGCTGAATATGCTAATTTGGGGAAGGCAGAATTAAGCAGAATAAAAATGTGAACATTTTTTTCCATTAATTCAAAAAGAGATTATCATGAAATGACATCCCCTCCCTATTTTTGAGTATAAAAGGATTACTAAATAAATCTTTCAGTGTTGAGATTCTGTATCAATATTTTAAAATGTTTTTATAAAAAATGTACACCATTCCTGGAGCTATGACAGAGCGCTTAAAATAAAATGTGGCCTTTAGGTGATGGTAGAGGAAGGGGAGTCATTTTTTCCCCTAGCCGCAAGAAAGCATTAGAGAAACATTAATGCAGAAGGCATCCAGAGAACTTCTTTCAGAGTTGTTTAGACCCCAAACTCAGAAAATCGTTCATGTGCTTGGTGCCTTAATTTCAGTGGGCTTAAACAGCACTCAGTTCATAAGTATTTTTGCCTTTTCTGTCTTCTGTCACATCATAAAATTATCTTCTTAGAGGAGGAACACTCCACGACTTATCCAGCAATTAAAGCCCTTGAACGGTGACTTGCTGGTGCAAGCACTAAGAAACCTCACAGGCTGTTATCTTTTGGAAGTCTGCACAGGCAAGGCTCCAGGACAGGACACGGGACAGCAGACAGGTGGAGGGAGGATGGACGGTGACGACAGATATTTGTCAAACTGTTAAGAAACTCAAGAACCTATAGAGAAAGCAGCCACGCCTCCCTGGAGAGTGGGGTGGGATCCTGCCGGCCACGGCTCTGCGCATGGCTTCCTGTGAACCAGTCTCATCTGGCTCCTGGGAGCGTGGGACAGGTCCTGCCGAAGATCGGAGCCCAGAGCATTTGCCATGAATGAGGGTGCAGGGGAAGGATGGAGGAGCCCCCAGGTGAGGGAGCAGCCTGCTCAGAGTCAGTGCACAAGCACTCCTCACGGTCCTTCTACAGAACTCGCGTGGAAACGCAGTATCAGTCTTTATGTAAACCTCGGTATTTAAAATGGGAAAAAAACCCACTTGGGCTGCAGCTTGCCACCTTGACATTATTACTGGTAATGAGTATCTTGATGAGACTTGGTGACAGCATGAATATTTAGAGGTAGATCATCATTGTTCTGCCCCTCGGCCTGTGCCGAGATGTGTACCTTGAAAATCATTCACATCCACTCCTTCATTAACCTGTGACTGTGAGGACTCGGTCGGGCAAACTCTAAATCCTCTGCAAACAGAGCCTGACACACTGGCAATTTCCTGCTGTTTACCATGGGGCTAATCCATCCGAGCGAGTCTGGTGCTCCCGAGTGACGGGCGGGCGAGGGCGGGCGAGTTCCCGGATCACCTCGGGGCCCCATAAAGCTGTCAGGGCGTGCACATGCATATTCAAATGGCGTTTCCTCTCCCGAGTTCCTGCTTTTTAAAGTATCACATACCTGTGCCTATAAAAGAAAATACAACGTGTGAAGGATTGCTACTTCAAATGAACATTTTGGGCTCTGAGCCTACCTTTTAGCAAACAGCCTCCTTTGGGAGTAAATTTATATTTCATTTTACAAACATTCATGTACTGTTTGCTATGTGTGAAGCAGTATTCTAAGCACCTTATGAATAATAACCTGTTTAACCCTCCAAGCAAACCTATGATATAGATCTTTATTACCACCACTCTACAGGCAAGGCACAGAGAGGTTGAGTTCTCTGCCTAAGGTCACACAGTTACTTGGCAGGACCAGGCTTCACACTGAGGGCTGTCTAGTTCCAGATTCATCCTTTCAGTCATGATTCTGTGGGGAGGTCTTTGCTTTTGATAACATATTTTCAGCCAGGCATGGTGGCACATGCCTGTAATCCCAGCGCTTGGGAGGCTGAGGGAGGCCAGCCTGTACTTTATACCAAGAGCTTAGAACCAACCAAACCCATCTGCTTCTTCCTTCCTTTCTGCATCAGATTTTCTGGCTTTAATTTTAAATTTATTAACATTTTATGTTGGTATTTAAATAAATTCAGCATTTTTTAGTGTAGTAAAATATGCATAACAAAATTTGCCTTTAACTATGCTGAGCATCTGACAGAGTAGCCTTGAATACGCTTATAGTGTGCAGCCACCCCCCGCCCCCCCATCCGTGGAGTTCCGTGTGTCTTCTCAGGCTGAAACTGTCCTCACTACACCCTGACTCACTTCCCCTGGCCACCCATTCGTGGCGGCTGTTCCCAGGATCTGTAGAAGCAGAAGCTTCACTCTCTGTCTTGCTGTAGCAGTCTTACTTCCCTGAGCTTCCTGTCCTTGAGGCTTGTCCCTCTTGTGCCCTGCTTCCAAATAGGCTTCCTTCATAAGGCTGAATAATGTTGCATCCTAGGCCGCCCCTGCATGGACCCTTGGGCTATTTCCACCTCTCGGCAATTAGGAATCATGTTGCCATGTGCACTGGCAAGCAATTATCTGTTGGAAATTCAGTATATATTTTTAGTTTCACTTGTACCTGGTAACACCTCACCGTAAAGTTGAAACCTGGTCCTCTCAGGGTGGGTTTAGTGTTGAAGCCACTTCAGAGGATGCTCAGCCTTGATACAGTATGGTTTTGAGCTGACCTTCAACCCATTTTCTTTTTACCCCTGAAAAACTCTCACTGGCATCACTCATGGCTACCTGGTTTATGCCAAGATAATTCATAGATTACATTTCTAGCTTTACTTCCAAAGTTTACCAAAAGAATTTTCTCATTTACTATTATCTTTGAATCCAGTGGATCACTGCAAAGTTTGCTATTCTCAGGAGAACAAGGATTACAAGACTGAGGGAGAAATGTGGTATTTTTGTGTGCAATGTGATGTTCTGCTTTATGTTATTCTATGCTTTGAAATTTACCACATGGAAAAAAATTCATATACTGATAATCCTATACATTGCTTTTACATTAGGATCCAAGAAACATTCTGTTTAGAAACGATTGCAAGAACAGTTTTTGTATTTTCACATTGAAAATCAGATTTGCTTCAGCCTCAAAGAGTGTGTTAATGTGGAATGAAGGTACCACTGGCAGTGAGCCGTGTTTTTTTTTTTTTTTTTTTCTTTCTTTCTTTCCTAAGGGGAAATGGACTAAGTTGAAAGCCAGGGGAAGAAAGGGGGCCTTGGCAGGGTTGCCGCTGAGCAGGTGTGGGTCCCATGCTTCAGGCATCCCCCATCACCTGCCATCCAGTGCTCCGCTATAGCAGTATCAGCCTGTCTGCAGATCGGTAACACTGCCCTGCAGTTCTGCTCATGGCATAGAAGATGGGCCTGGTACCACTGCAGAGCTGGCAGCCCTGGCAGAGAAGCAGGGGCTTAAAGCCTGCACCCTGACCCTTGGACTGCATGTGTTTCTGATTAGGGTACAGATGGGACACTCCAGATACACAGGGACCTTCTGGTGACCAGAAGAGAGACCAGGCCAGGCGGAGTTGTCAGTGGGTCAACAGGGGTTGGTAATGGTGTACACACAGTGGGCAGTAAGAGCAGCAGCCATCAGGAAGAGTACCAGGAATCCTAAATACAGATGGAGTAAGTAGCCAGGGGCACACAGGAGTAGGTGGGGAACAGGACCAAGGAAATGCTGCTGTCCAGCTTACAACTTCAGTGGGGTCTATCCTCAGCATAGAAATTTGTCTTTCTCCCTTTGCCCCATGCAGCCCTCACTAGCCAGAGACAGTTCCATCAGCCCTGATCCAGGGCAGCCCAGAACGGATGGTCAAGCAGGTACAATGTCCAGAGGCTGGAGCTGGTATCTGGGAGAAGACCTTCCTCACCTCTGCTCTGTGTCACTCTCTGTCCCTCTTGCAGATGAAGGCTTATGGGACATGTTTGTGAAGGACATTCCCCGAAGCGCCACCTCCTACACCATCAGCCTGGATAAGCTCCGGCAGGGAGTCACATACGAGTTCCGGGTGGTGGCTGCCAACGAGGCAGGATATGGAGAGCCCAGCAGGCCCTCCCCGGCAGTGTCAGGTAGGGGCCGGTGATCTTTTTCCACAGGCTGCACCTCAGAGTCATGCAAATGTCTAGACAGAGCCAGGTCCCACCCATACACTGATTCTGGCTGTCTGGACAGTGGTCTGGGCTTCTCACACCTAACCCAAAGGTGATCCTGGTGTGCAGACAAATTGTGAGCCTAGATTTAGGGTCTAAATGAAGGGTTGGCTGGAAGAAAATGGACTTCAAGATAAAGGGTTTAGGAAAAAGGCACCTGCTGGCGGCAAACAGGGACAAAAAAGAATTAGGGGTGGCAGGTAGAGTCCAGCCAGTAACTCACAGGCTGAGCCCAAAGAAGTCCAGTCTCAGTATTACTCTTCCTTATGTGGAGAACATGTTTCATCTCTTGTTTGTTTGCTTGGAGACAAGTTCTCACTAACTCACCAAGTTGTCCAGGGTAGGTTAAAGTCTGCAGTCCTCCTGCCTCAGCCTCCCAGAGTGCTAAGATTCCACGCCTGGCTTCATCACTTGCTTTTAGGTTGGCTTAGTTACTGACCTCATTGCTGAAATTGCAAACAGCCTTTGTCTTCCAGGGTCTGGGGAAAGATGGGGTCTATGAGGTAGCTGGAGCCCTGGCCTGCACCTAGATCTAGGATCACCCTCAGATTTGGGGTTCCTCAGTAAAAAGAGGCCCAAGGGTCCATTCCAATTTTTAATAAGCAAGATTTGGGGGGAAATACTCATTCAATTAATTTTATTGTGAACAGCCTTAAACGTGCACCAACATCTAGAGAGGAAGGTATGGAGCCCCAGCATTCAGCAATGTACTATCTGGTTCGTCTATGAAAAACTGACACAACGCAATTGCAAACTAGGTCCACACATGCAGCACATGGCTCCCTCGCCTGCCCTCCTCCAGTACATCCTGCATGGACGCCTCTCTGAGCTTCCATTGCATACGGATGCTGGCCTGGCTGCCCACTGCCAGCTCATCCCTTCTGCCCAAGGAGCCAGCCACTGTCCCCTAATGCCTTTGTGTCACCACCCTGGCTGTGGCACATGGGGCTCCTGCCCTGATGTAAGGGCCCAAGAGATGGCAAAGCCTTTCTTTCCTGCCACTACCAGAGCCAGGCCACCAAGGGTGCGTGGGCCGTGTTGGCCTTGTTGCCTGGCCTATTGAGTGCACAGCCTGAAAACCTGCCTCTATCTTTTAGATTCAAAATACTGTTATTTCCTAAGAAACCTTGTGGCAGAGCATTATCCAAAACCAATTTCCCTTTTACTCCCAGTGTGCACACGTTTTTCATCTAGCCAGAGATACACTTAATGCGGGGTAGATGTATGTTCTGTGGACTCTGGCAGCTGCAAGCAGACCCTGGGCATTGCCTGTAAGGGGCTGCACACTGGGGGCATCAAATGCCATAAACCAGCCCCCTGTGGAGAAGCTTCTGGAGGGTCTCAGGAGGCCTCCAGTGCTAACCAGCACCCACTGAAAAACCACTTAGCAAACAGCACAACCTCAGGAAGAGGAGTTCCCTTTTGAAAAGTGACTTTTAGATGAGACCTTGTCTGTTCATTTCTCAAAAACAAATCTAAAGAGGAGGCTGGTAGTTCAGCTCAGTTTTTCTGGAGGCACAAAATAAATAAAACATAGCCACAGCCTCCAAGGGCTCTGGTTTGGTGGAGGAGGACAACAGGTAGGCAGACAAACACACTTGGTAAGTGCTCACTATGAGAGGCTTATCTACAGATCCCGGGAGATCCAAAGTTGGGCAGGAAACAGGAGTCAGGTCCTCAGGGCCTTGAGGGCTCAGCCTTTACCCCAAAGCCAGCGGTGTCCCTGGAGGATGGCAGGAGGGGACAGTTTGACCTACATGGTAGCTGTATAAAGAATAGATGTAGCGCCTGCTTAGGCAGATGCAGGGGCCAGGGGTTCAATCCCCAGCATGCTGTACCAGCCCTGCCCCTGGGGTGCGCTGAGAGGGCAATTGAGACTGGACGTGGTGGTGCACGCGTGTAATCCCAGCACTTGGGAGGCTGAAAAACAGGAAAGATCACTACAAGTCCAATTTGTGTAGTGAGACCCTGTAGACCATGTACTAAACACATTTTTAAAAGAGAATAGATGTGAGCAAGTAGGGAGGGCACAGAAAGGATAAAACAAGGTTCTGTGGCATGGGCAAGAGATGATGGCAACCGCAGCGAGGGCATGAGGGCCAGCCGGAAGGGAGGCCTGCAGGGCCTGGAAGCAGGACTCTAATCCAGACAGTGTTTTTAAGCATATGAAGTCGGGGGAGTGGGATGGTAGATGTGATGGTCAAGGCAGGGCACAGGCAAGGGTACAGCTGTCTGCGGGTGGGAAGATACTGAGACCATTTGGCAGAAATTTCCAAAGCCTGCTGCAGAGGTCACAGAGCCTCAGCTGTTCCCATGGGAAAGGAGTCTGTTGGTCCCTAGTGGCCTGGCCTGGTTTCATCTTCTGTATGACTCAGCTCACCCCTGAATCCTCTCCGTGCCTGGCTCACAGGTAACAGCCACATCGGGAGGTCTTGTGCAGCCTCCCTATGAGTTTGTGTCTCTTCTGCAGCCCAAGTGGAAGCTCCATTCTACGAGGAGTGGTGGTTCCTGCTGGTGATGGCGCTCTCGAGCCTGATCATCATCCTGCTGGTGGTGTTTGCCCTGGTCCTGCATGGGCAGAACAAGAAGTACAAGAGCTGTGGTGCAGGTGCGTGTACCACCCAGCCCCACTCCTGTGTCCCCACATCCCTGCAGCACCCAGCTCCCTATCTGCCATATCTTCCCTTCCTGCTCTGTCTTTCCCTTCCATTGGCATGAAGGACATGACATAAGTGCAGTGGCTCTGCTTCCTGGAGGTGGCAGGCAGACCCAAACCACAGCTCTGGCCTGGTGACCCCAGTCCTGTCTGGCTGCCCTCAGCTCAGCCACATGACTGGTCACAGCATCTGTCATTAGTCAGTCAGCCTCAGCTACCTCCTGAGCACCGCTGTTCAAGAGCACTGGTGTTATAGGTATGACCAGAAAAGATACATGGCAGGCAGCCACAGTACTATTCCCCCACTGTGATGAGCACAGTGAGTCCCTACAGGACGGGGTCACACAGGCCCCTCGATGGTGAAGCACAGACAGGGAAAGAGCAGGGCAAGCTTAGAGGGGGCTAGAAATACTCCACGCACCACAGAGAGAGGATGGTGAGAACGCATTGTGCTAGACACTTAAGACCAGGGCCCTGCATGCATTTTATTATCCTCCATACTTTTAACAAAAATCTGTATAGTTACCAGTTAGGCCACTTCTTTGCATAACCAGAAAATAACTGAGCTGTGCACCTACAGCCTGCTTGATGCCACACAGCAGCCACCAAAGCTGGACCTGAGCCAGAGAACACAGCTAGGAGACTGAGGTGGGAGGATTGCATGTTTGGGTCCAGTCTGAGCAAAATGTGTCTCCAAACATTTGCAATGCCTTATCTCAAAATAAAAGGGGCCTGGGGACATAACTCAGTCATAGAAGGGCCCTGGATTCGGTGCCCAATACTGAAAAAATAAGTAAATAAATAAAGGAATGTGGACAGCCCTCTGATCTCTGATACCACACAAGTGGGGCTAGATGTCTTCCTGAGCCTGACCCTGTCACTAGGGAACTCCCATCTGTCCTTTCTAGAAAGGTGATCCCCCTACAGTGCTGTTAAAGAAGCAGCTGGCCACATAGGCTTGGGATGAGGGGCAAGACCAGGCCTGATGCCATCCCTCCTGAGCTGAAGGGCTTATTAAACCCAGGCCCCTCAAAAGCCTTACTGTTTGCTTTGATAACATTAAGCAATTCATCCCTCAAAGAAAGGATTTATTTTTTTTCTGTATAAATTCACTTCTAACAAGTGTTCGTAAATCAGATTTTATTCCTGTGGGATTTGCAATATATGAATGGCATGTCATTTTACTGAGTTAATGCTATTACAGAATCCTATGTGTGGTGCATAGAAAATCTCTCTGCTTTTACTCTCCTCCATCTGCAAAACAGACTTGAAAAGACAGATCTGACCCAAAGCTTCTGATATCCGGCCTCACCCTGGAGTATTAATTTAACATCATAATTGAACCCCGGGGGCTGGAGCTTGTCTCACAGCACCTACTTTCCTGCCCTAGAGATGTGTGGCACTGAAGCCTGTGGCAGGCCAGCACCTGCCGCTTCCCCTTCCTGCCTGGGCTCCCCAAGCTGCTGTCTGGGCCCCATTCCTTTCAGTTCTGGTTCTCACCCGCCCATCTCCAGTACCCAAGGAAGGTCCATCTCTTACTGGGTCTGTTGGCTTTTCTTTTGCACACAAAAGCATCAATGGACACGGGAGGGTGCCAGGTCCCCAGAAGAGTACAACTGAAGTTCTAGCCAGAAGGTCTGACTCTGGGCGTCCCAACAGGTCTGCCACCTGCCACCTGAGAGTACAGAGACATGAAGGGTGATGAAGAAGAAAGGAAGTTACTATTCAGTGAGGCCACATGCTGAAGCAAGCAGTCGGACCTGAGCCCTGCCTGCATAAGAGCCAGGAATCTAGATGCAGAGATAAGAAACAGGCAGTCAGGCAGCCTGGGTCAGATGGTGGCCTGGCTAATCGGGGCCTCGGGGCTGGTTCTGTGAGGTCCTCCTGGCTGCAGGAAGGTCGCTATTATTTGAAAGAGCACTGCAGTTCCCGCAGGAGATGTTTGTTCCTGCTTAAGGGGCAGCCTCAGTTCTTCCCTGAGCAGTCCCATCCATCACACAGTGATCTGCCTGCACACTGCTCCTGGAATCTTAAAATTATCTTAGTTCTTCCTACCTTCAGGTTTTCAGTCTTGAAGGGGAATGAAGGAACCTAGGTAAACAAAACCTAGGACACATCAACCTTGTGTAACCAGCTTTTAGACAGAAGGGACTAATGTGTCTGTGTGCAGTAACGCAGGAATCTGACCCAAAGTTAAAGATAGTGAAATATTCACATGCAACATGAAGACAGAGAGGCCATGGGTTTATCCTACTCTTGGTTACCCATAGGATAGCTGCAGGCCTGAGTCAAGATCACTGCTGGTTAGCAAAAGTGGCCTCTCACTCCCCGTCAGACGAAGAGCCTCTCAGGGTGAACACACACTCGCCACTCCCTGGCATATTCTAGCAGGCAGCAGGATGGTAGGGACCATCACAGATAAAGTTCACACCTCAAAGAGCACCTCACCCAGTAGGGGAAGATGGAAGTCAGAAAGTAACAATCATGCGTGAGTGAAAAGTACATTTATGCAGGGTGAGGTGAGTGAGAAATGGGGGGGAGGGGAAGGGTCTCCCAGGTGTCAGAAGGGAGCACTGTGCCCCATGACACTTGTCTCTGTTTTCTGTTGCTCATTACACTGTGCCTCAGACTGGGTATGTTACGTATTAAGAAAATAGATTTGCTTTGTGTCCTCTTTCTGGTCCAAGGTTAAGGGCTGCATCTGGTATCAGCCTTCATGCTGGCAGTCACAAGGTGACACATAGGTGACACATGGCACCATAAGGAGTGCCTGGGAGGGGCAGATAGCAGAGAAATGAGCCTGCTCAGCACACAGCCACTTGTGTGAACAGACAGTGAGAAAGCACACAGGAGGGGCAGAGGCGCAGAGCAGGCCAGGCTTGGGACAGCTGGCGGCCGGGCTCCCCCACCATCGTAGAGGGGAAGCCATTAAGAACAGTGTCCTGTTTTTGGTTTCTTACAGCTTTTTCCATTTTGTCTCCTAATATGCTTTAGAATATGTTTTGCAATGCTTTTGTAAATATTTTTTAAAGTGTATGATTTGATGGTTAATTTGAAGACGTGTAACCAACACTGTCCTTCTAGAGAGGTTCTTTTTGCTTTATTCAAAAAGAAGCCATGCTTGTGCCCCCTTTCTGACTATCATACCCATAGAAACCGGGTTTTGCTTCCTATTTTGTTGTATTCTTGTGAGGTTTGGTTTTTTTTTGTTTGTTTTTTGGGGGTGCTTTTTGTGTGGGTTTGGGTTTTTTTTTTAATTTGTTAAATATTTAACTTCCCTGACTTTTAATAAGTTTATGCTTTCTGAGCACATTTTCATAAAGTATTGGCAAAGACGCTGGCATGTTGGCATCCGGCAAAACAAATGCTGAAATGCTAATATTGCCACTTCGCTCCAGGGATGCGGTCCATGCACATTTCTGTCCCCAGCTCAGCTCTCCACCTCCTGAGGCAGAGCAGGGCCTGCGCCACAGCAGATTTTTGGTCTCACCAGCCCAGCCCAAACTGGACAACTCTCGGTGTGGCCCACAAGATCCTAAACTTTTAACACTATTATGTGACTTGTCACTATATTTTAATGCGGATTGCATAGTGACAGGGGAGCACTGCAGTGAGGGTGCAGAGCGTGCTGACTGCCGCTGCGCTGCCCCACACGGTGCAGCCAAAACCTGTGTGGATCTTTCCTGACAATAAAACACAGAAATCATTGAGCTAGGTTTGCAACCTTCCTCCAGGTGCGTGCCTAGGAAGACAGGTACTTACTGTTGTTAAGCAGATATGTAAGTTTCCTTACTTACTCAACTTGGGCTTGCTGTATTATTTCATAAATTTGAAATGCAAAAAACTTTTGTTTTTTACTTATGTATTATTGTATATTATTGTGTATTATATAGCTATATTATGTCTAAGCACCAAGACAATTCCCTCTCACTCAGTGCAGCCAGGCAAGCTGAAGGTTGGACTCTAGTGCCCCAGCGGGAATCCTGGGGCTCCTAGTGTTGGCAGTTTGGCTCAGTTTTGCTGCAGTGGGCATGTTAGTAAAACTGTACTCACTCCCCTTGCCGGGCCTTAGGTAAGAGCATCTCCAACATGGAGGAGTCTGTGACCCTGGATAATGGAGGATTTGCTGCCCTGGAGCTCAATAGCCGCCACCTCAATGTGAAGAGCACCTTCTTGAAGAAGAATGGGACCAGGTAAGGATCCGGTACTGCTTGGAGACTGTGGCTAGGTCAGGGAAGAGAGCCACAGCAGGGCCACCTGGGGAACTGTGATTGCCTGGTCAGCCAGAGGTAGGTACCAGTTGAGGACGTGTCTCACACCATGGACCACGCCCAGTTCCACAAAGCAAATGCAGCTCACAGACAGGCATGGTTCTGAGCCCACCGGGCAGCATGGGATCTAGGAGAGGCAGTTGCAGAGGGGCCCGAGATGTTTCTGTTGTGCTCTCAAAGATGTAAGAGGGGCGCAGGACTTCAGATGGGGGGCTTGAGACCTGGCACAGCAGACTAGCCTTCTGTGCCACCTGGCTGAGCACCTGGGATTGGGGGGCTCTTGGTTCATGTGGCTGTCACCCCAGACTGGCTTAATCATGTCATAGAAGAAGAGGTTGCTGTCATTTTCAGCATTTCCTATATTCTGAGTTTTCCTCTGTGACATAGTGACCCCTCTATCTCTGGAGGAGGCCAAGGGTCCTGGCAGGCCTTCTGCCTGCAGCGACCCTCTGCCAGCACTGCCTGGTGGCTGATGCAAGGCAGAGTAGGCTGCCAACCCAGATCACTGTCCTTAGGGCAAGAAGTATCTGGTCACATCTCTCATTCCATTTGTCTATTGAGAGGCAGGTGTTTCCTGTTGTAGCACAGAAATGTGAAACAGCAATCACATAATTTCAAGACCAAGAGGAACTTATCACAGAGAATTTTTAAAATATTACACATTCGCTCCCTTGCTGCAGATGTCTCCTGTGGCTCCTGGGAAGAACGGTTGGTGGCTCTGAGCACATAGCCTGAGGACAGCTGTGGGTTAAGTGCATGCACTTCCTTGAGAAAAAGGAAAGGCATTTGTGGTGAGGCTGGAGGGTGTCAGCCCACTGAGAGTTACCCTATCAGAGAAAAATAGCCACCCTGTGTCAGTGGCAGGGAGTCTGTATGGCCCAGGGGCACTGTCATGGTGATGGTCTGAGCTTTCCAGGAGCAGGTAAGGAAGCCTTCCAAGGTGGAGCCTGGGAAAGGAAGCTGTAGCCTAGCAGCTGTTGTGTGTGGGCAGCCCTGGGGACTTCGTGGGAAGTACAGGCTCCAAGGTTCCTCCATCTACAAGGTGCCATGGCCCCTTTCATGTGCTGTATGCATTCTTAGGGGCTGCCAGATTGGGTGTGATAGAGGGCATGGACCACCAGGCATCTCTCCCTCAAGCACTTGTGAGTGGGCATCTCTGAGCCCCAAGCCTGTGCTTCCACATATGCAGCCCCATGTCCAAGGGACTTTTGCCTTGTTCAGCCAGCTGGCCCAGTACAGGCCATGGCTTCCCAATGGCCTACCGCAGCCAGAGGCCCTCAGCTTAGCAGCCTGTAGAGGCACCATTCCTGAGCAAAGGGGACCCCGTGGGCCTGGTTCCTTCATCAGGGTCAACTGGCTTCCATGAAGGTCCTGGACTTCCTGGCAGGGCCACAGACAAAGCAGAACCAAGCCAGACAGGAAGATCATCCCTTCCTAGGGTTGCTACACAAGACCAGACCATTTACCGTGGCCCTGTCCTCAGCCCCCATCTGACCCTGTAGCCCCCAGGCTCCAATCAGCAGGGGCTGCTCACCAGTCCCCAGCTGGCCAGTGTTCAGAATGTTTTGTACCAATTGTCCAAAGTGGTGACAAGGGCACATCCTTCCCAATGTGTCTGGACCCAGGCCAAATGACAGGAGTCACCTATACCATCCATCCTTATCCTAGGTCCCCGCCTCGGCCAAGCCCTGGTGGTCTGCGCTACTCCGACGAGGACATCTGCAACAAATACAATGGTGCTGTGCTCACTGAGAGCATGAGCCTCAAGGAGAAGTCAGTGGGTGCGTCAGAATCCGAGGTCAGTGTGTGCCTGCGTCCCCCACCCTCATGATAAGTCTTCTGCAGGACACTTTGTCTCATTTGCTCTTATAGCCACTCAAGGAGTAGGCAAAGCTGATGACAAAAATGCTACTTTACAGATGAGGAAAGTAGAAGAGCTGGAGCTCAGAAAACCAGTCCATTCAGGGCCCATCAGTGCTTCCCACACAGGCTGGGCAGAACACAGATACCAAGCCAATTCTTGGGGTCCGCTGCTGAAACCCCAGGCCTAGGATAGGCAGGGCACAGCAGGTCCTTTCTACCAGCAAGGGACACCCTGAAGAGCAGACTGATGTTGACTGAGCAAGGTTACTGGCTGAGCGAGTCTCTGAGATCATTTATAAGTACTAGAGCCACTCTACGAGGACAGGGCCGGGGCCCGGCAGGGCCAGCAGCCACCCAGATGCACATGTGGCTGGCAGACCATGCCCCTCTGTCTGCTCTCAGAGATGTACCTGACGTCTTCCAGAGGCTGCCCTGCCACGCATCTTGGTGGTCCCTGGATGGGGGCTGGGGTAGCAGGGTCCTGAGCTCACAGCCCTGAGGGGACATAGAGCCTCCACCCCCAGATAAGTGCTGCCTACTTGCCCTGGCTCCCCCCCTCCACCATCCTACCCAGGATCCTCCTGCTCTTGCCTCCCTTTTGGAAGAGGAATTGTACATTCAGCAGTTCCAGGTCAGCAACAGGGTGGTAACATTTCCTTCACTTTGCTGAGTAGTGGTCCAGGGACATAGCAGCCCACTGACAGTGTCACCCTAGCACATCCCAGGGTCTGCCCATATCACACCTGGTCTTAGTCTTTCCCACCATGGACACAGCAGAGCATGTTTGGTGCTGCACCAAGGAGTCATGGTAGTTCTGAGAGGGGTTCAGTGCACCCTAAAAGCATGCCCTATCTCTGTAGCTTACATTGCCCACCCAAACAGAAAAGCTGGAAGAAGGAAAAAAAAAAAGCTTTCCCCACAGTCCAGAGTGTTTTGTTTCAAATATGCCAAGTCTCAAGAGGGATGAAAATCACCAAGCCATTTGCCATGTGCACAGGCCTGCACCACCTCCCAAGCTAGTGCTCTAAATCAATATTCAATCTAAAATAAGTCTCACCTTCATTTTGACCTGAATTCAGGCTTATTGAGCCCCAAGGCTCAATACCATGGCTACTTTTCAATTGTGGTTTATATATGCGCTCCAGGGAGAACAGGAAGGTGGGATTGGCCAAGCCAGCTGGGCTCACTCTGCGTGTCTTATTTTCAGGGGATGCTGGTTATTCATAGTGCCATTGTCCCAGATTGGCAAAAAGCACATGGTAATACAGGTAGCTCAAAAGGAAAGGACAGCCTCATCGTAGCTGCTTGTACTGAAAGCAGCATGTACAGAAGCAGTGACGTGGCTTTCAGGCAGGACTTCCATCTCTGCTCAGAGTGATGTACCTCTGGGCACTGAAGATGTCCGAGCTGACTCCTAGCCCACAGCTTTCCAGAGTGCACAGGCACAGTGCATCACAGTGATAGCTACCATGCGTTAGCTCTGAGCACCAACCAGGCCAGGCTCCAGTTCACCCTCTGCATGCCTGGTGCTCAGACCAACCCAACGGATGGGTGCCCCTGTGTCAAGAGCTGCATCATCCAGCAGAAAGGAAACAGAACTGGTGCCCACGTAGGTCCTTGGATCCCCAGGGCTTGGCTGATCCTGTCCTGTCTTCCACTGTGCCTTCCAGCCCCATGCCAGCCAGTGACTAGTGTGCCCCAGAGCAAACAGAATTGGGTTCACAAGTTCTGAACTGTTTGTCCATAAAAGCATTTTTAAATGGACTGATGGGAAGCATTTGGTTTACTTTTCTACTCAGATGTATGGCATGTATTAAGATTCAAATGCAGCTGATTTTTTAAAATTTCATTAGTTTGTATTTGCAATCCATAATGGATATATTCATCATGAGTTATTGGTATATATACATATCACAGATGATTTTTATGAAGATTACTAAATACACTCAGGCACTGAGCTAGGCAGAGTCATGCATTCACATTTAGACTTGCACACACACACATACTCATACATCCTGAAATGCAAGCACATGCACAGGTCAGAGGGGTGAATTTGTGGGAAGAGAGGGAAGAAAAAGAGGAAGGGCAGGCAGAGGAGGATGGAGGGACACAGAACCCACACTACATGGAATCCTGCACCAAGGTGGTTATGACTTTGTACAACAGAGGAGACATACAAGGTTGCAGGAGATTTTGGATGCTTTACCGAGTACATATTAGTGAGCTCAGCTGAACGTCTGGCTCCAAGTTCCAGCATTCCCACTAGACCTGCCTCTCAGAGCTGAGTTGCTATGGCATAACCTTGTGTCCAAGAACCCAGGGCCTTGACCCAGGATGCCTGCTCCCAAGAGAAGCCCTGTGTTAGGGGAAAAGTCTCCATTGTCTTTCCACAGAGACTTGTCAGGGTTTTCAGAACTAGCAACTGTTAAGTCTAACTGTTTTACAGTGTAAAAGTTTCTGTATTTTCTGTCTTCTGCCATATATCAATGTACTGAAGCCTCCAACCGTTATTGCTAAATTGGGTGCTGTTCTCTTTCACTCTTAGCTTTAATTTCACATATTTTGGAGCTGTATGGTTAGATGCCTGTGTGCTTACATGTGATTGTATCTTCAAATGTCTTTTATCCCAATAACGTGCATCTCTTTGCACCCAGTAACAACTTTTGTTTTAAGCACTTTGTCTACTGTTGGTATAACTACTCCAGTTCTCTTATGGTTACTGTCTATGTGGTATGTCACTTCCATCCTTTTATTTTCAACCCCTAATGTGACTTTGAACCCAAATGTGTCTTTTTTTTTAGCCACCATACTGTTGGATAATGTTATTTTAATTATTCTGTTCATCTCTGCCCTTTGACTGGCTTCTTTAGTCCATTCACATTTAATGTAATTATTGCTTAGGTAGAATTTACTTCTGTCCTTTTGATATCTGCCTTCTCTATGTCTCATGTTTATTCTCCTATTTTCATTGATATTTGGATAAGTAGACATATTCTAGTGTGCCACTTAATTCCCTACCTTTTGCTTTTACTACTTTGCAGTAATTTTTAACAACTTGCTCCATATCAGCACCTATTCCAGATTTATCCTGTCACTGATGTACAGAAACTTGTCTTTTATTATACATCATGTCCATATGTGCTGTAAACTGAAGAATGCACGTTCACAATGACTAGCTTAGATGATTATATGTCTCTTAAAGAAGCTGAAAGAAGAAAAGAGAACAAGTATATAGACAGACAGTTTTGTCATTTTAACCTTATTTACTATTGCTGGGCCCCTCCATTTCCTTGTGTGCATTCAGATCATCAGCAGGTGACATTTTCTTACTCCAAAGCCTTCTTTGTGCTGTATTGTTCAATGTGTTACATTTCTATAAGTTATAAGCCCAACAGTACAGTTATACACGTATTATTTTATGCACCAGTGCTTATTAAGTCAGAAAGGAGAGGAAATGTATAATTATACTTCTATAATTACCCACATAATTACCTTTATTTGTGCTTTTTAAATCTTGTCCATATTGGAATTACTATCCAGTGTCGGAGTTTCAACCTGGTGGTCTTCCTGTGGTATTTCTTGATGGCACATTTTCTAGCACTGAATTTCTCTCCGTTGTCATCTGTTTGATGTCTTTATTTCAGGTTCATTTTTGAAAGTAGCTTTGCAGGATATAAGATTCTCAGCTAGAAGTTTTCTTGCAGAACTTCAAACAAATTGCATTTGCCTCCTCATTTTTTGGCTGGAAGTCAGTTCACATTACTTGTGTTTCCTTGTGTATGAGTCCCTTTCCTTCTACTAGTTTCAAGAGTTTCTTGTTGTCTTTGGTTTTCGAAAGTTTGACTATGATGGACCTGGGCGTGGATTGCTTTGCATTTGTCTTGCTTGGCTGAGCCATGGTAAAATTTTAATCTTGGTTACATTTTTCTTCAACTCCAGTTTTCCCAATTGGTGCATTTTATTATTTCTAATTCTTCACTGGTGTTCACTACTGGATGCAATCCTATCATCACACCTTTAATTCTTTAAGCACAGTTTCAAAATTCTTTTGTTCTTTGAACAGCACTGTAACAGTTATTTGTGAAGTCTTTACCTGGCTAATTCGGCACTCATGCTCCTCATGGGCTGTGTGTACTTCTCCCTGTGTTTGTATTTTATCTTCCTGGAATCTTAAAAACAGACCATTATGAATAATATCTTATTGAACCCTGAGCACTGATGTCTTTCCCCTCTGTGGGCCACTATCATTGCTTCTCTGTTTGTTTAGTTTTGTGGCTGAACATGTTCAGAGAAGACTGTTTCCTTTCAGAGTGTATGCTGTGATGGCCATTCTAGGGGTCACATTCTATGTGGCCATGTGTGTGCTCCCTGGCCGCTAGAGATGACATGTGTTTAGTTAGGCTTTTTTTACTTCCTCTTTTCACTTCCCCATTAAGGCTCTGGAGGACCCACCACTATGGTATCATACCTAATAAAGTACCCTCCCCACTTATCTGGCTCCACTACTTTACAGCTCTGCAGGTAGCTTAATCACTTTATCGTTAATCACTTTATCACTGTGGATGGTGAGAAAATTTCCAACACCCACAATTGAAAGGAGGGCATATGTTTGGCTTATGGTTTCAAAGGGTTCAGTCCAGCACCTGGCTCCAAGGCAGAAATGGCACAGTGGGTAGATATGACAGAGAAAAGCTGCTCACCTATAGGAAGGGAGGAGGGAAGAACCAGGAATAAGAATATACCCTTCCTGGTCACACTGAGTCACCCACCTCCCAACAGCACACTGAGCTGTGAGCTCATCAGTGGATGGACCCTCTGATGGATAGAACATGATCTTCATTCACCTTCCCAAAGTCCCACCTCTGAACACATGAGACCTTGGGGGATATTTTAGCTCCAAACCATCACACTGGGGTATAAATTGTCCCATGCTCT